GGCAGCCTGGGTTCAATTCCAGCCAGCAGCCCTTTGATGCATGTCGTCCCTCTCTCTCTCTGTCTGTCTCTCTCTCCCCCCCCTTTCCTGTCTGTCGTTACCTGTCCTGTCAAATAAAGTCATGAAAAGAGAAAAATATGTGAACCTAACCTTTAACACTGTATGTTAATATGAGTAGTCAATAAAGGCCAAAACTGCCAGATCAAAAAAAAAAACAGCTGCAGCTGAAAGTGAAAAACAGAAAAGTGACAGACAGATAGATCATACAGGGGATTTCCTCTTCTTCTGTGTGACATTCACCCAAACACAACCCACCTTTATAACTGGGATTTTATTGCTAATTTAAGGTCCTTGTTCTTATCTGGTATAATTAATGGTACATATAGTTTTTTGTTCTCATTTTTTTGGCTTCTGAAGTGAGATCTTTCTACCATAAATCCCACTGGTTTGTCACGTGCTCAAACGAGAGCTTCTCTCCTGTTATAATCCATGCATTTGATCTCAGCGGATGTACTTGTTTCATTTATGTGCAGCATGTAGGTTCTGAAGTCGTGGTTATGAAGGATCATCTCGAGTGTCTGCTAATGAAACAAATGTTTTTATGCCTCCACTGTATCATTACAATGACTGGAGTAGCACACATCAATTTAAAGCTACCTTACACGAGGAGAGGGGGGGTTGGTACAATTATAACTATAGACTCTACTCATAATCTCAGTGCTACAGTCAAGCGCATTGGTATATGTAGTGTGATAACATGCAGACGGAGCTAAGTAGAACAACTATGCACCTTAAACTGCAGTGTGTGTTTTACTAAAAGGGGTTGCATTAAGCACCAAGTATGATTCTTCTGCTGCTTAATGAATCCCTTCAGGGACGGAATAAAACACCCAACAAGATAAGAGCAATTAAAACAGGATGTTTTTCAGATCCTCCTCCGTTTTACATCATTAATTATACAAGGTTAGTTTTTCCCCGTGTCTTCCACAAGGTGATGTGGAGCCACTGTGCCTGGGGAGGCGTACCCCTATTGTACAGCGGAGAGAGGGCACAGGAACAATGTCAAACATGCCATCATGGGAATACAGAATATGCAAAGGCATTTATCCTCCTCCTGTGTGCGGCAATGCTGCGTTTGTCTCGTGCAGCCGTACAAGGGCAGTAATTTTCCACAAAGTCTGGTTCAATTGAGACAATATATATATATATAATATAGATATATAATGATTTAGTGGTGCAGGGTGTTCAATAAGCCTCATACAATGGGTTTCTATCCACCATTGTCCGAGTTATTGCAGCACACAAATCAATCCTTTTTATTATTTCTGACACATCATCATTTCCATGAACCCCCCCCCCCCCCCCC